TCTGGCCCAAGGCAGTGAGGGCGCAGGCTGGGGAAGCGACAGCAGTAGTTGCTGGAGATTTTCTCTGAAGTCTGAAGGAAAACTAGCTCCTTGGAGGACCTGCTCCCTTGCAGAGAGCTTGGGGAGGAACAAAGAGAGGACCTGAAAGTGCCCAGTGCCTACTGCTCCCCTGCAGCACAGTACCTGTTCAGACTCAATATGGGATAATATCCGGATCAGAAGCTTTCCCAAAGAGGATACTGGAGACAAGAAAAGTCAGGAACCAAGAAGTCTGTATTTCTTGCTTCCGTTCAAGATGTCAGAGTTTGCCATGCTCCCATCCTGGCCCCTTTGTGAAGCTGTAGCATGGGGGTGAAGCTAATAGGCAGCCCTTAATGCATCTTTGCCTTTCTGCTTTAATTAACCTCAGTTCTGTTTTCCCTCAGAGACTTTCTAGTACACTGAAAAAGACCGTTCACATTTTATCTGAGCGCACTTTGTCCTGGCTATTTAATGCAGGTACTCAAAATATTTCATTTATATTTAATATTTTCATTCAGGAATCTTTCAATTTAAACCTTACTTTTCAACACTTTCAGCTTTAATTAACCTCACAGCTTAACTCCAACACAGCTTTCCATACACCCAGCTTTGCACAGAGTAAGAAGGCCAACACATGGCTTTTGCAGTAGACTAATACACGAGGCCAAAAGGCTCTCCAGGCTTGTCAATTTTGTCCCAAATAATGCATGCCCTGCAGTCCCCAGCCTCCGCGCAGTAAGGACAGACTTGAAGCCAGACATCAGGTTCCGCACTGAGTTGAGCAGAAATTGAAGAAGCTGGCCACACAGTTAAGCTCAGTGCTGGGAGGGGCCCAGGAGGGTGCACCTAATAGCTTGAATTAAATTGTTCTTATTGTGAAAGATGCCCAAGGACACTAGAAGACAGCTGGCACTTGTGTCTCTTCTTTTTAAATTGAATGAACAGAGAAACTAGATTTTACTGGCTATTCCAGCCCAAAGTGCTGTTATGAAATTTAAGAGAGTAGTTATCATAAAAGAGTTGCATGGGGAAACTTGATCCGGTTGGTTTAGTGAGATCCCTTTGACTGCTTCATGTAACTGAAGAAGGGTAAGAAAAAAGCAATTTTTGCATAAGGGAGTAGGTTGTGCATTTCACTCTAGCAAGCAATAGACATATATATATATATATATATATATATATATATATAAAAGGCTGAATTCAAATTAGTGGGGTGCATCTAGCAGGGGGATTACCAGCAGTGACTAGGGTCAGGAGCTGTTTAACCTTGGAGGGAAGTAGTGACAGCAAGCGAGGCTGCCATGGGCTCCACACTGCTCAACCTGTGCTGAGCACAAGTGATGCCCAGCACAGCCCTGGGCACTTGCTCAGTCAGCACAGCCATGTGCAGGAGGGGGATTAGGTTGGAAACCATCCCCCGTTTTCTATGTGACTGAGGGACAAGGTGAAGTTATTCACTGCTTAGTCTCAAAACCTTCTTCCCCTCATGATTACACTTCTAAGTGGCTCATTGAAATCAAAGTGCACAAAATGCTTTTATTGAGAAATACCCCACTGCACAGGTCCTGCTTTGAATGAAGAGGGATAGCAATGGAGACAGACATACCTTGGTGCAAACAGTGCCACCAGGTCCTCACCCCCAGGAAAGCCTCCTGCCGTGGCCACACCCTCCATCACCTTGTTTTTAACCAGAGGGGAATAACATACCTGAAGAATGCTTAGGCAAGTATTTCCTTTCTGAAGATATTTTAGACAAGAAAGAAGCACAGCAAATGCCTGTCAAAGCAGCTTTACAGGGATATAAAGGAGACGGCATGGACCCTGGACTTTGGTCTCCCCAAGGATCCATGTAAACCCCCTTGATGCTGAGAGCCATTGGCCTGGTGTGGTTATATCCCGCCTCCTCCACTGGTTCCTTGAGGGAGACCTCACAGATTTTTCTTGTCCTGCTGAGTGTTTCCATGGGCTTCCCCTCAGGAGGAAGCACCCACAGACTTACCACAGGCTGCTGTTCATGATTTGGCTGAGAACAAGAAGAGCATCTGTGCTGAGGTCTTTGCTGGGGACAAGGGAGGGACAATAGACAATGGCCAGGGAAGTAGTTTTAGTGCAGGTGATGGTGTCAGGAGATACATATTTGCTCGCTGAGTATATCTGTAATTATCAGACTGCTAATAGAAAACTAAAGCTAGCAGCACCCAACACCTGTCCCACCAAGTGACACTACAACATATCCACACACCTCTCTTTGCTACCCTCATGACATCCAGCTGAAGTGCAAAGTTCTGACACAGCCTTTCCCCAACTTCATTTCTTCTCTTTGACTCTCCTAAAATCTCCTCTTTATTTCTTGGATTCCACAGCCTGTATCTCCAGATGGGCTTTGGGCTATACAGCAATTCCTATTCCCCAAGCTCCCTGTTCCACACTCAAGAACAAAAAAAACCACCCTTGAACAAAAGCAAAACCCCCCTCAAAATGCAAGACAAATAGCTTAACCTTTGTTTGACTGGGGTAGAAGGGAAGAGGTGGGTTGCATGAGCAGGAGGGCAGTGCAAATCCCAGTGCCCTTTCTCCTCTGTGTCAGCAGCAGTAATGGTAACCACATCCTCCATGGCTCTCCAGCTCTTCCCTTGCTGCTTGCAGCCCCACTGGCCCCCTCCTGCCTGGCTGGTATCTCTGGTGGCTGCCAGCCAACAAAATAATGAGCCCTGACTGAGGCCAATATTTTTACTGGCCAGCTACCAAAGATAGTGTGATAATGAAAAAAATAAACATTTTCAGCTTACTACAGTCTAGTTGTGAGCTGTGGAGCAAGCCATAAGACACGCTACACATGGTGGTGGCTTTTCAGCTGCCTGTGGGGAAGGGCAGAATTTATGAAGCTGCCCCTTTGGGGCTTGGGGCATAAAAACTGTTCCCCCAGGTGCCGGGCTGTTCTGGACACTGGTGCCTATGCTGTCCCACTGAAAACTTTGCATTAAAAACATCCCGCATGCATGTGCTTGAGCAACCAAAGTAGCAACCTGTAGGTCATCACATCTGTATAAACTGATTAAACAGGACTGAAAACTGTATTTCTCTTTTCTTTCCAACTGCTGCTGTTAGAAAGGACCTTGAACACATCCCACAGATTAGTATGTCAGTGCCTTGAGAGGCAGCCAGCAGCAGCCAGCAGCACCAAATACACATAGAGAAGGAGGAGAAATTCCTGAAATGAACTCAAACTGCCCAATGCCCTTTTGAATTATGTCAGCCCCAGGAAATCCTGCTTCCTGCTGCCCTGGACAGAGATGGAGCAGTGCGGGGGGTGCTGAGCACCAGCTCCCCACGCCAGGTAACATCTGGGGCCGGGCCCGGGCACGGAATGGGCACCTCCCATTGCTGACAGCCGAAGATGCACGTTCAAGCCCCAGCCCACACCCACTCCATTAAGAACAACTGCCGACACCCAGCAAGACTAACATCTCTGTGGGTTAGAAGGCTAAATAAATAAGAGATGAACAGCTACCGTACATCGTAGCCCTTTACCCTGGGAGAATCAGCGAACCTGAATTCCCCAAGAAAAGCAAGTAGGCTGTGCCTGTGCTCTGATTAATCTCATCAGTTTGTTTTCCTGGAAAATAGATGTCCCAGATGCCATTGTTTCCATTATAAATGCTCATCTGCTCCGTTTTGAGCTTGATTGCTCCTGTAGCCTGCTTGGCTTAACAGTGTGTGGGGGTTTGTTTGGGTTTTTTTGGGGGTTTTAATTAATGTTCTTAAACAAAATGCCAGTAAATTAAAATGGGAGCATTGCTCCAACCCTCAACACCAGATTTGTTAAATGTTTAAAAACACCTACGGCATACAGAAATCCTGAGCTGTTTGTACACAGCGTGACCAAATTATTAATAGTTACCATACATATCACACAAGAATTTCAAAAGGGGACTTTTGCAAAGCACTGCTATTTTTGTCTGACAGTAGAGACAAAATCATTTGGAAATTAGTCTCATTGGTACTAATCACAACTGTTACTAAAACATTCCCACATGTAGGCACAATACAGTCATTTTTCATCTTTGAGCAGAATTAGCCATTTCACCCATTATCTCAAGGAAGATCTCAAGAGTTTACAATTTGTTAAAACACAAACAAAACATAATTAGTTAAAACACACTGGAACAAACATCTATTTCTAGTCATAAAAAACTATCAACTAGTACAGTAACATTCGAGCACAGATTAAACTATTATCATTTACAGATGATAACCTAGACTGTTTGTTTTATGGGTTGGAAAGATCAGCTATGGGGTTGTTCCAGGTGGGGTTTTTTAAACATGAAGATATACGAATGTCTTGCTACGTTTAAATTTGCGTTACAGAGAAAATAACATTCTGCTGTAGGCAAAAACACAAATATGGGAAATTTCCTTCCAGATTCAAGTGAATTATTTCTGGTGAAAGGCTTCTCAGCATTTTGCTACAGGCATGCAGCTTTACACAGAGAACATTATGCATGTACACACAGAGACTGCTCTACTGGGGGTGTCTATCCTGATACCATTCTCTATGCCCAGCTCTCCTGCAAAGCTATTTGTGGAAAATAAAGGAAAAAACACAGATTCAGAAATGGAAGAAAAAAAAATCCCAAACCAACAAACAAACCCAACAAGCACTTAAAACGTCAGCACAGGAAAGCAAGTTGGTAAGGAAAAAGGCAGCTTCACTCAGTATGTCTGAGAGCTGCTTCCAAAGCAGAAAGCAATGAGGACGTACTGCTATTATTAGCCCTCTGGATGGGAAGCAGCTAGTTCACAGCACGGTGTGAAGCTGTTGGCAAGACGTTGCAGGATTTTCTTCACACGTACACATAGGCACAGACACACAGGCAGACAGACAGACCCCCCACACAGCTTGTGGTGAGCCCCTTCCCACCTCTCAGGTGAGACAGACAGACAGAGAGCACGACACCGGCGCGACTGTGCGTACTCACAGCTCAGAGTACAAGAAGTGCAGGTTGCCCACATTGTCTATGTAGTTTGCAGGACTTAGCCAAGGTAGGACCAGTAACAGGAGAGCCTTCATTTTCAGTGCAGGGCTGGCACTGCTGCTAGGATTCCTCCTTCCCACTGTCTCTCTGTGCTGGTGGGACACACAACGTGAAGCTTTTGTGCCAGCCAAGCCCCTTCTAAGCAAGCCTTTCCATTTCAACGCAATGGTAGCACATTAGGAATCGAGCTTAAATCCCTTAAACGAAGCTACACTGCAAAAATCATTGACCTGTAAGAGGATTACTCGATCTGACTCTCAGATGGGTAGATGTGAGGGTTTAGGGACAGCACAGCGTGGTTGGCGAGACAGTGACTTATGCTGCAGAGGAGAGCGATGCTCGGGGAAGAGACCTGCCTCCTGCAGGATTCAGAGTGGTTCTTCAGAGGCAGCTGGTACGTTTACATCACTGCCCACAAGCAGATGGGTTACGAGCTAAACTGCATCACGCAAGGGTGTAGCTGTCTGACAAGGGGGAAAAAATGCCCCCCGTGGAGTTTAGAAGCAGGCGATATCAGAAGACCACACCTTTTTAAAGTAAAACACTGCGAAAGATCACAGCCAACTGCTGGCTGTTTGCATCTCAGCCTGAATTCCCCAAATCCAGTCAGATATTTCTGTGAAACATAAATCATGTAATAATCCAAGGACATGTCTCTTCTGAGAGCGTTTATTTTCATGGATTCTTTTTTTTTTTTTTTGAAGGATGCAAGGACAAACATTTTAAATAAGAACGTTTTCAATGGACTACTCCATGGTAACTGGCATTTATAAAATGTAAAGTTCTCGCATTGATTACAAAGCATAAACCAGCAAACTCACCTTGCCCCATCAGTGACCCAAAATTTCATTTTGTCTCTGAGAACCAGGATTGGTCTGAGCCTGAATCAGGCAAGAAATGCGAGGACGGCTGACTGCCCTGGTGATTCTAGCGGAGTCTACTCTAATTTATTCACTGAGAACACAGATCACGTTCGGTCGAGATTTCAGATGGGCTCGGAGCTGTTCTCGCTGCAGGCAGTGGGTTCTTTATCATTATTATTTTATTATTTTTATTAACAAAGTCATATATTTCTCTCCCCTCTATTGATTCATTGGAATTAGAGAGAACAGCGCTGGCTCAGTCTGCTCACTCTGTAGCATGTGTGTGGGCATACCAGAGCACAACGTCCTTCTCCTGTCCTGCCCTGCCCTGCCCTGCCCTGGAGGTGAGATGGAAAGAGAGAATTCTGCATTTCTGAGAATTAAATTAGGCAGAGGCATAAGATGCCTTCAGTGATAATTACTGTTGTGCTTAAAAAAGGTAAAGGTACTGCACAGTTTCTGCAAGCACAAGGTTGCAGAAGTCCCCCTTTAGGGGTCACTCAAAGTTTCCTCCTAATTTTTTGCTCTGGTGGGAATGCCAGTGAGGCTGTGCTACCCACCTCCTGGAAAGCTGAAACCTCCAGCAGCAAAGGTTCCCCATGATTTCCTACTCTCATGCCTCTGTCCTTTGGCCTTAAAGTAACTCAGCCCTCCAAACCATCCTACGTAAGGAAAATCCATGTCAGTGCATGGCAAAAGAGCCACCCAGCCTGTTTAGCACTGACTCATACTGCACTACCTTTGAGGCTTTAGGTCTAGATGGGAAGGCAGACCACTGCTTTGTCTCTCCAGTCTCCTGCTCCCTGGGCTTGCAAACCTAGGACTTGGTGGGGGAAGCCTGACACAGGGCAGAAGGGACAGCAAAAGGCTGTGGGGCAAGCCAGGGATAGGATCCCCTGAACCAGAGCCACAGGAGATCCCAAGAGGAAAATCCATGGCACAGACATGCAGTAGTAAGCACTGGAATAAAACTTGCCAGGCTTTTACAGGACCAAATCATGGTTTACAACACTGCAGTTCTACAAGGCAGGTGGGTGAAGGGTATCTTTACTACTACCTTAAGGAGGAGAAACCAAGATGCTGAAGTGACTTGCACATGTCCACCCAGGAGAGCTGACACTAGGAAATCAGGAATTGTGCTAGTTGTATGGCTTCTGTGTAAAATACAGTATTACAATTTGCCTATTTATTGTGTGGGTTGTTTGTTGGGTTTTGTTTGTTTGTTTGCTTTAACTTGCTAGTTTTATGGCCACAGCACCATTATCTAAAAAAAAAAAAAAAAAAAACAAAATTAAGACAAAAAGGAGGATCTAAAATACATTAAAGTCAGCTATATGTGTAGCAAAGGGAAAGGGTATTTGCACTAGGGGCTCAAGATTTTAGGGTTGGAATCTGTAAAGAAACAATCTCAATGATAACAGCTCACAGCAGACTGTCAGTCCCTTTACCTACATTACTACTGAAATTAGTATTTGAAGCCTGTCAGAGAAGTACTGACACCAAAGGCAGAAGATTATAAGTAACTTTGTCATATTTTCCCCTTAGCAGCAGATAGCTAACCTGGCAGAGTAGCACTGGCCTGAACTGGAGGCTGCCTCCTCCACCTCCTACATGCCATGAGCCAGCAGCACCCTCAGCAGGGAAAGCCAAGTCCAGAGCTGGGAGGGCCAAGGGCATCCAAATCCATAATCAAAGCCCCTAGCATGTGGAAAGTGGGCTTCTGACCTTTGCAAAGGGTCAAGAACCCCTTTTATAATGTTTTGAGGTTTGGGGTTTTGATTTTGGTTGGGTTTTTTTTCAGTTTTAGTAATGTAAAATGGTCACATTTTTTTGTTGGTTAAACCACAACTTCAGTGAACATATTCAGTGAATAAATTACTCATAAGAATCCAGGTGCTCCAGGAAAAGAGGTCTCCATTTCAAACGGGGACATGTTTGATTGGCAGGCTGCAGAGCCATTTCCAGTTACAAGCTTCAAAACCATGAAGCCTGCAGCCATGTGAGGACACTTCTGTGCTCCAGCTCACCAGGGATGCTCTGACTCTCAGCATTACCATGTGTGCAGGAATGTGCCTCCCGCAGCAATCTGGAGCCCTGCACCAGTTTCCCAGGTCTTCCTCTGCAATGCACAGGCAGAAGCACACACCTAGAAACACAACTCACACCTGCAAACCACAGGGGAAGTAATTTCACTGGACATCAGATACAGGCCACAAGGAAAGGGCATCTCTTAGACCATGTCTCTTCTCAAATCCAAGGTGCTGATACTGGACTATACCAAAGCATTTGTCTGCCATCAGAAATCACAACCCTGAATGTATCTCTTTAGTGTTCTGCCTTCCTTCCAAAAGGCAGAAGATGCAAGACAAAAGCAGCAGCACATGGTTTTATGCTGTCAACAGAGGATTATTCACCATCAGTTCTATCCTTTCTGAGGAACCAAACTGCTCCCTGGAGAGGTCTCCCAGAAGCGGGAGGGAGATTGTCCTGGCCACCAGCAGAAGTGAGGCTGGAAGGCGAGCCCAACCGGAGTGCTCTGCCACATCAGTTCACTCTGTGAGCCACATGGTGCGGTGCTCACCTGGAATAAAGGAGCATGCAGCTCCAAAGGCCAATATCAAACCAGAACATTTTCTGCTCTACTTCTCATATAGGTCATTTATGATTCAAAAAAGGACTGGAGAAAGGGCAATTATAAAACACTTAATGTGCTATTAAAATATTTATAATAGCTCAGCTTCCCCAAACTCTCAGATCTTTTCAGATGACTAAAGACACACTTCCATTATGTGGCTAACCACAAGGTATCTGCCCAGAACTGCTAACAATAGCATGAAGTACCTTGAATGCATTTGATTCTAAAAACAGAGTGAGGTGTCATCATATAAATGGACTAAATTATACTCTAAATTACTGATACTGTAGGCATTCATTGGGAGTGGAATCAACAAATCTTTGTTTACATTAACTGCATATTTTAATCGGCATTAATTGACAATATTTTTTTCTCTCCTTAATAAAAAGAGTGAAAAAAGAAAAATGTAATCGACAGCAACTTACTGGGTTTGGAAATGCTGTTGGAGGTGACCACGTTGCATGACCTCTGAGCAGTGTTCTGTGAAAGGGCAGCTAACCATTAGCTTGTCCAAGAGGTTATTCACTAGTATGCTGGCCTTCCTGCACGTCTGGAGAATCACAAGTTTGCGGTCCATGGGGCAGAAGTCTTTTTCCACAAGGAAGTTTGTAAGGCAGGCTGTGCAGAAGGTGTGCCCACAGAGAGTGTCTAACGGCTGAAGCAAAGGTTGCAGGCAAATGTGGCATATCAAATCATCATCTACTACTTCGGTGTAGCTGTACAAGTGGTTTTCTTCTGGTAAATGTGCTTGGCCGCAGGTGATACAGAGTGGTGGGGAGCTATCCTCCATTTCTTCTTTCTGGCTCATAAGTGGAATTGATGCAATTCAAAAGAGGGCAGACTGGAGTACCCGACCTGTTTTCTATTCGTAGGAGTCACAGCAAGGCTTGTGTGCCATCAGATCTGCGGGAAGAAAGCCAAAGGATTGTTGTTCTGGGCTGTTTTCTCTTACTGTACTTACAATATGCATTTGGACATGAATTACTCTAGCAGGTATTAAGGAAAGATTGCTTTTTTGAGTGGTAGGGTGGAGCAAAGAAGCGGGCAGAAAAAAAAGACTTATTTTCTCTTATATCTAGCTCAATTTACACAATTACTCTCATTGTAAAGAAAGCTGTCAAAATAGGGAGACATAATACAGGCATTTAATGGCTGAAACCTTAAATTAGCATGTAATTGCAATTCCAGTCAGCTGATTTTGTGGTCACATTACTTCTGCTGGAAAAGCAGAATCATGCGTAGGCAAACATTGAGAGACTACAGAAACATAGGTAAGAACAATGGGTACTGCACAAACTTCCTGCTCAGCACAGCAAGGGAGAGCAGCAACTTCACCTAACACACACAGGCATACAGACACTCACCCAGAGGGAGGACAGGTTGGATCATGAGGATTTAGTCTTGGCACCCTCTAGACCACCCTCATCCCACTGCAGCAGTGCACCTGGGACCCTGCATTCCAAGCTTGTCTCCTTGTCCCCCCACAGCACTGCTCTGGATGCTTTGACTCAGGTAGTGATAACCATCTGCACTGGCATAACCAGTTCAAAACTTCATTTTACTTCCCAAAGCACCAAATACCCCATGTGCTGAAGTGAAATCCACAGCATGATGCCAAATACTGTATCACTCAAAACTGGGTTTATTCTGTTCATAATTTGTGTTGTAGAAACCCAGTGTGTCTCTAACTACAAGCCTAATTAGCTCTGGCCAGAGCACCTGCCTCCTGGTATTTTAAAGATGTAAACTCTGTGGGTAGCAGCAAACCTGAAGAGTAATTTGTAGTTTTTATTTGATGAACCCTAACTGCTCATTGGAGCACTTATATCTCATTACATCAATGCTTATTTTGATATACTACTTTGAAAATAAACTTGGAGATATAAAATATGCAATGACATAATTACTACTCTTGCTTGAAAATGTTAATCTTATTTGCTGCTCTGCCGCAACACTCTACTCTTACTTCCAGCTTGACTTAATTTGCTGAGACAATGTGCCAGCCTCAGACACCCACATCTGAGGGCAAATGAGGGAAAGAATACAAAAAAAATCTGGTTATGACAGAGCACATTTTCATATAAAACATACCCTTACTTTTATGCAAAGCTCATGGGCTCTAAACTTGAGAAATTAAACTTGAACATAGCAGGGATTTTCTGACATAAAGGTAAAATGATAGCCCCACTAACTCTAACCAGATGCTTAAATGTCAAACATTCACTTTAATGCTTTGCTAGATCCTGTTCTTATGTGGCAATTATGCTAAGTGGCTGTATAATAATATTTCTGCTTGCAAGACTAAGTTCTGCATAAGCTCTGTCTCCTGA